GGTTGACGTTTCTGTGTAGTATGGGGCTAGCCCAACCGAGGTTTTATAATGTATAGGCCTGGTGGGTTCAGGGTCTTTCATCTTACATCTGCCTGCGAGCAGGTTGGAGGTGCAAGATACCTGAGCGTGTAATGTTAATTTTACCTGTCATCAACTCTTCTCTCTAGTTATCCTTGACCAGATGTACCCTGTAGAAACTCATAAGCATGCCTAAGCATTTAACAGTCTAACTACTCATCCTATCTCCACTAAACATTTCTAATACATAAAGTATCTATCCAATATCTATCTGACTAAAAATACCTAACAGTGTATTTCAAGCTGCATGCAAGTTTTTTAATATATCCATGGCTGTGAGTAAGTAAACTGTTAGTATAATGTTTAAAGTTAAGATAAAAGAGGTATTCTGACCCTGTAGCCCTCACTTTAAAACATCTATTCTGAGCTCAGATGCCTGCTTTGTTTTTCCAGTGTATTTTGTCTCCGTCGGTCTCTTGTTTACAGAGAGAGGCTGCTCCCCTCTCACACATGCACTCAACTGTGTGTTTACACACGGTGCTTGTAATGCTAATGCTTGAGGTGTGAAGACGCGGACATTTAACCAATCACCGGCGACTGCCTTGTGTGTGTTCTTAAATCACATTGGACCTGAACCCAAGGAGACACATTGATGCAAACAATAACATTTAAATCAATTTGTCATTGAGACACAGCAAAATTTATGTGAACTGGAACCCTGAGATGGAACTAGGATGCAGAGTAACAGGAGCACCTGCTGCTTAGGACTTATTAAATTTAGATTTTAAATCACTGAGACAAGTGTTGAGTTTGACATCCCTGCCACTTTTTGTTTAATAAAAACAGCAATGTCTGATTTATTATTACTGCACTGATAAAATTTTGTTTTTCAAACAAATTCAATAAAATGTGTCAATTGCAATGTTGTGGATCTGTGTTGTGCATTTACCTCAAGGTCTCCTTTGGTAATGCAAGCTTCTTCGACACGAAACTGAAGGTCCTCTACCTTTCTATTTAACAGAAACAAGTCTTATTGAAGCTTTTTCTGTTTCAGCTTAATGGGAGAATTAACCTCTGAATTACAGTATTAGGAGAAAGAATAAATCAATTAGGGAAAATCTCTTCCTTCATGACATAAGACTGTAAATGTACAACATTATGAGAGCTGGATATCAAATTACATGATGATGTCCATTCTTCCAGTGAAAGATGCTCCTCTGGTGCATATGCCCCCAAATTTTTTTTTTACCTTCTGGGTTTGCTTCCACATTGTACGGCCCATTGCACATGTGTATTGATGTTTCCCCGTCTGCTGCCCTGTTCCCACAGGCTCCAGTTCACCAATAGACTTTATAATGGGGTGTCATGAAAATAAAACTCCTTTTTTTTTAGGCTGTGGGAAGGTTTTTACAAATATAAAACCAACATGGATTACAGAGCCATAACACAAAGAGCGATAAGTGACCTGATTTGCAGTTCAAAACATCCTGTCAGCAGTTTTACAGACGTCTCTTATGACCGTAGTCAATGGGAAAAAATGCTTTTTGGGCCACATGGGACTGTTTGGTTGCAGAACTGCAAGTGGCCACTAGAAAAAACTTAATTGCTGAGTGGCAGTGCCGTATCCAGGTCTCATAATACATCTATGGTCTTTGACTAGTCATACCTCTGGGAATCCTTACCTGCGCTCCTCCTCCAACTGATTCAGCAGTTCCACTTTGTCTCTGTCTGCAGCTTCTACCAAGGCACGTAACTGATCCATCTTTGCCTCCATCTTCAACAAAAAAAGTTCAGACATTGGGGGAATTTACACAGATGCTGAGGAAATTAAGAAATACTCTAACTCATCAGTAGTTTAGGATCAACAGGATGCAGGCTTATTCTGTTCAACCCCCAGGTGAGCTGACCTGCTCCTGATCATCCCTGAGCAGGCTCATTTCTTGCTCCATCTCTCCAACATGGCTGGTGGCCTTTGCAACCTCAGCTCTCTCCATATCCCGCTCAGCCATTAGCTGCTCAATGTGCTGTTGCTTCTCCTTCAGCGCCTCTTGCAGGGCAGTGGTGCCTGAAATCTTTCGATTATATCGTGACGATGTTTCTGTTAACTGTGGACAGAGAGAAAAGAAGCATAGTCAGACTGGTGAGTAAGCACAGAACAGAATTGTATGAGCACAGCCTTCTAATAATGTTTGTGTCCCTGTCTCACCAGGCCTGTGCGGCTAGGTTTGGCACTGACAGAGGATGCCACAGAACTCATTGTACTGATGGACGAGGCACTGGGGCTTCTTTTCAGCCCCGATGGTGTGGCCACTACTTTCCGAACTGTTGTTTTTGCTTTAGCTGGCGTGGTGGAGGGGAATCCAATGCGTGTGACTTTGTGCACTGGAGCAAATAAGCCATATTTGGGTTGACATTGAAAATATCTGGGGACAGATAATTGGATACAATCATGGCAATGGAAGTCATAGTATACACATGGATGACAAGTATAACAACTACATATTCTTTATCTACAGGTCCAGCAGCTCTTGTACCTTGTGCCTGCCACTGCCCCATCATTCTTTCCTAAGGGCTCATCCAATTCCACACCACACCACTCGCCTTTAGCAAAATCCGTTTCTCCAAGGAAACGTACCACTCCTGCTTTTGTACCACCAACCTAAGGAGAAAAAAAACCAAAACAAACTAACCATTAGCCATCATAAAACAGATATGAAAGGCCTAAAGAGTGATTGGTTTTTCCTGGTAATATACACCGAGTGAGATAATTTCATAAAAGCAACAGAAACAAACATGTGCCAGCTTTGAACAGAGTGCAGCCCAACTGTCGACATGTAAAACTGAACACTTTTGTCTTTCCGTTTTTTTAAATGTACACCTGCCAGGTTTTACATGATACAAAATTTGGTATAGGTGAGCTTAGGCGTGGGTGATATGACGATATTATATCGTGGACGATATTAAGGACTGGACGATACACTTTTTCAACAATATCGTAGTATCGTCATATGTGCACGTTCTATCCATTGTAGTTCTATTCATTCATTCTAGATCCCGCCCTCAACATGGCGCGCCACCATGTTAACAAGCTCGTATGAGATTAAACAACACTGTCAGTGACAATGTAGGAAAATGCGGAGGAGTTGGTGTCTAAAAAAAACTTGACATCAGTGATATGGAAGTGGTTTGGTTTTTCGCCAGCAGACACAGGACAAACCACAGTTATTTGCAAGTGTTGCAGTGAGCACATTCGCGCGTCGGATGGCAACACAACTAACCTTTTTTTCCACCTCAAAAGAAAGCATCCGAAAGAATATGC